TACAAGATCCATCATTCCAACATTCCAGCCACTCTGCCAGAGATAGAGGAAGCCATCTGCTCACATAAAGATTTGCAATCTTGGAAACTCGATTTAGCATCACTAAGAGTCAGGATAGACTCAGTGGCTATGGGTTTGGTTTTATCCCTGTAGGAGTAACTACTCATTTTAAAGGCATGTGTTCTTGTAGAGAAAGCCACAAGGAAGAGGCAGAGGCAGAGGAAGAGTGGTCAAAGGGATGGGTAGAGTCATGTCTAACAGAGGTGGGGTTGAATTCTGGTCCCGTTACACACTGTCTGTGGGACCTTAGCCACAGTCAGTTTCTTTATCTGTAATAGAACTATCCTTGTAAAATGATTGTCAAAATAAAGTGGGTTTATATTTATATTATATATATAGTATACATATACATATATGTTACCTGGGTATATATATGTATATATAGACATATACACATAGACACAACCAGACTTAGTTCAACAGTTAAAGTACTTGGTTGCTAATTAAAAGGCTCTCTAATCAAATAATACAAGCTATTAATTCCCCTAATCAAATAATACAAGATATTCCTTTTATTTAGCACAGGTTTTCCATCTCATTCCCATCTCTACAAACGTCACACAGATGGCATATTCTCATCTGTAAAACTTCTCTTACCTGTGGTGTTCTCAATTCAAGGTCATGCCTTACTGCAGTCTCACCTTACCCCTAACACGGGAAACCTCTGGCATAGCGTTGTATATCATAGATATCTTCTGATGTTAATGAAAAAATAGATATAGTGTGCATGGCTTCACAGTATTCCATTATAAAATAACAGCCAGCTTCCCTTATATTCTTCATTTGTTTCGGGCTCCATGCTAGACGGTTGACATGCGTTATCTCATTGAATCTCGCCCAAATCCTACCAGATAGATCATTATTATCCTCATCTTAAAGGTGAGGAAACCAAACCTAAACAAAACAAAAAATCAAACTCATTGCCATAAGTCAATGATGATTCATAGCGACCCTATAGGACAGGGTAGAACTGCCCTTGTGAGTTTCCAACTGCCCCTGTGAGTTTCCAAGATTCTTTATAGGAATAGGAAGCCCTGTGTTTCTTCCAGGGAGCATCTGCTAGTTTCAAACTATTGGCCTTTTGGTATCAGCCCCACTTGTAACCATTATTCCACCAAGACTCCTTAACCAAAGCTAAGAAAAAGTATGTATCAAAAACTAGCAAGGGTTTAGAGCTAGGATTTTAACCCAAATAGTCTGCTATCAGAGCCCGTGCCCCTAGACACAGTTCATTGCCTACTGCCTCCCATTATTTATGCACCATTCCTGAATAGTAACCAAGATTTTTACAAAAATCCTATTTACACTAACAGCAACATCTTTTTCTGATTTATTCTGTAATGGTAAGCTTGTCTAAGCAGGAAAAGAACTTCCTTGTCTTCTCAGCTTATCCAAAAGGAAATGGGGAGTGGGCCAGTCTCACAGTGGAACAAGTCTACCTCCCAAGTCCTGAGCTATTTGCCTGTTTCTAAAGCAACCTTGAGGTTGCTTGGCTCTGGTGATGAAGGGAAGGACTGATGGATGAGTCAAGTCGCCGAATTGACTGCCCTTTATGATCCCATATTATTTGTTTATCTTCCATCTCCTAGTATGCCCTGTCTGGAAGTTGGCAGAGGAGCGTGGGAGGATTTATGGAGGTGTCCTCATAGAACAGTGCCTGGAGTTCCAGGGAGACTCTTGTGACAGCCACCCAAACAAACAAAACAGAGTTCCCAGCACAAATGAGTTTCACGCATCTTTTTAGGAACATCAGTACTTAGTGGTCATATCCATGACGGTGTAGAGCTGGCCCAGGCAGCGCTTTTCCTCAGGCCGCCTGAGGAGCCAAGACAGCTGATTCGACTGGGAAGTTACTTCCTGCTGCGGCGTCCTCGCCCCTGACTGCCTTACTGCCATCTGGCCCTTTGCCTTTCCTGCCCCTCACTCTTCTCCCTCTTTCCTCCCTCTTCTTGACTTTCCACCTATCTTCCCTCCGGCTGGGGTCCGGCAGTCATATATTATTTCTGGACAGAAGCATTCTCCATGTTTCAGAGTTCCCTCAGTTTGGTTCCTGTCCAAGAAGGTGACTAGATTGACCACGGGTGATCGTGAAGGCAAAGGAGGTTGCAGGACTTGTCGAAGGTCATCTGCCTAGTGATTCACCAAACATGTATTGTGTGGCTACTATGTGCAGAGGAGGGAAAGGGAATATGTGGTGAGAACTCATGGTGGGTCCTGTGCCAGGCTGTGGGACACTGCGCTGGGCAGATGGGAAGGGGAGCATGGTTCCATGATCAGTTCACTGTTTCCAAGACTTCTCTCTGTGACTGTCCTTCCAGCTGACCTCACCGCTACGAAGAGCTAACCTCTTCAGTACTCCATCACGTCATCATTCATCTATACCTCAACAAATGGCTTTCAACTGACCTCTCTGGTCGCTTGGCCTCCTTCATATCGGATCTCCACAATTAAGTCAAGGAATGCAGATTTGATTATGTCATTTTTCAATGTATAATCATCGATGGCTTCCAGGTGTCCTTAAAATGAGTATCAACACTCTTCATGCAGCTCTCCTATTCTCGACCATCTGGGTGCTCTTTGCTTATCTTGCCTCATTCACTGCCCTCTCCCTCAATGCCTTGCTACCACTGCATCACGCTCTTCTCTCAAAACTTCAGGGTCTTTCCTTGTATTGTCATTTCTCTATGATTTTTTATTTCACACTCTGCTCACCTTTCCCACTTTCTCATAGGAATGTTCCTACAGGAAGTCTTCCTTGAGCACAGATGAGAATAGATTCCTGGCTGTAGGATCTCATGGACCCCTGTACACACCTTGAGTAGCACTTGTCTCAGATTGCAGTGATATTTGGGATTATTAGAGTGAAATCTGTGGACCATACGATTTGAATCTGCCATTTTTGTCCACCACTCTCCCCTTAGCACCAGAGACAGTGCCTTCTACCTAGAAATTATCCAAAGAACAGTGGGCGGGTTCACGAAAAAGAGTGTAAACATCAAAGCTGGAAGGGCAAGCCTAGCATTTTATATATGTACAAATAAACAGACTGGAGAATCATAGAGGGCAGGTGGTGACTTATCAAGGACACACAGCAAGTTAGAGGCAAAACTAGCCAAAGGTCATAGTTGATAGCTCTTAGCACATACTATAAACCAAGCCAGAAACTTCTGTTTGCTTCAAAACTATATATATATATATTTTTTTTTTTTAAATATAGGCCTATAACTAAGATACATAATGTGTTAAATGGAAATACCATCTGCATTAGCACTGCATGCTTTCAGGTGCATTCTTTAGCTTATTAAGACCCATGCCTGAGGATTCATTTGAAACACTTTCTCTGTACTGATTTTAAATTGAACTATTCAGTCTCAACTAAGTACCAGTTCTCAAGCACGGGGAATAGGTTATGGCCTTGAGCCTGTGAAGCAAACCCTCAATACTTCCTTCTAAATCAGCTCATTAAGTTGAGAATAAATGGATCCCACCCTTCTAACATCTCTTCTTTCCAGGAAAGGCTTTGTGACAGCCCAGGAACCAGTGAGAGGCCCTGTAAGCAGGGCTGTCTCGTGGCCAATAAGGGCATTTCGTGAAAGCTGACAGGGGAGTGAACATTTGCTCACTCTCTTGAAGGATGCTTATGCAACTTCTGAAGTGTGACCAGGACACAGCTCAGAAATGTCAGATGTGCCCACTCTCTGAAGAGGAAGCAGCACCCTCAACCCCATGTATCACACCCCAGAAAAGCATCAGCTTCTGATCAGTGGGCACTGGAGTGGAGGCAAAATGTTTTTAATGGTTTGTTTGTGCATGGACCTGGCCCCAGGACCCAGGCAGCACCAGCAAAGCAAACCAAGGGTTCTCCACCCCAACCAAAGAGAACCAAGCAGAGGAAGGAATCAGGGTGGAGCCGAAAGAGTGTTCTTTGTAGTTAAACCATCGGAGTCACCTTTGGCATCCTGGGCTTCCAGCTACAAAATGGACTGAATACCAAACTCACCTCCCTTTCTTCTCCATGTTCTCAGTGCTAGGCGCTGTCCTAGGTACCAATAATGTTGAGAGTCGCTAGGGCACATATGGGAGGCAGACCTGAAGCAAAGAAGCCCTGGTGGTGCAGTGGTTACCGTTGGGCTGCGGTCTGAAAGGTCAGCAGTTTGAAACCACCTGCCACCCTGCAGGAGAAAGATGGGACTTTCTACTCCTCTAAACAGTTACAGTCTCCGAAACCCACAGAAACAGTCTGCCTTCTCTTACAGGGTCACTATGTCAGCATCAGCTCAGTGGCAGTGAGGTTAGAGTTTGAACCTGATGCTCCTCCAGTTTTGTTAATGTTGACTATCACTGTGTGGACACAGTGAGATGCAAATAATGGTTGACGCGTAAGAGCTATGTGCCATGCTTATTCCACATCGTTGACATATACAAAAACAATAGCAACAGCTCATATGGCATGGGATGTAGACCAGGTACTGTTTTAAGGGGTTCTCCTGTCTTACTCATTTTATCCTCATTTTAAAATACTTATGATGCAGGGTATATTATTATCCCCACCTTATGCATAAGGAAACTGCAGTCCAGAAGGGTTAACTGTAAAAAGCCACACAGCTGCTTTGTGCCGCCGGAGAAGCACCCAGGCAGTCCGAGCTCAGAATCTGTACTTTCCCCGCCCTCTGAGCTGCTTCTCAGGATAGTCGCCTCATTTAACTCTTCAAAGAACCCAGTGAAGTCTGTGTGGCTCTCATTTTTCATATTTGGAAACAGAAGCAAAATGCGTAAGTGACTTCTCTGAGTTCACACCGCTGGGAACTGGGGACAGGATATGACTTACGGTAGTATCTGTCCGCTTGTGGTGATACATGGGAGGCGGTTGGCCTGGTGGCCAGCCCTGGTGAACTGGGCCTCCATGTGTAACTCTCGCTCCTCACCTTGCCTTTGCTCAGGTGTTTCTGAAGAGTGACCGCGTGGCCCGTATGGTCCAGAGTGGCGGCTGCTCTGCCAATGACTCTCGAGAGGTCTTCAAGAAGCACATCGAGAAACGGGTGCGCAGCCTGCCGGAGATTGATGGCCTGAGCAAGGAGACCGTGCTGAGCTCCTGGATGGCCAAGTTTGATGCCATCTACCGCGGGGAAGAGGACCCCAGGAAGCAGCAGGCCCGCATGACGGCCAGTGCGGCCTCCGAGCTGATTCTCAGCAAGGAGCAACTCTACGAGATGTTCCAGAACATTCTTGGGATCAAGAAGTTCGAACACCAGCTCCTGTACAATGCCTGCCAGGTAAGTGGCCTTTTCCTGGGACCCAGACTGCAGCAGGTTATCAGGGCTGCAAGACGACTTCTGTAGCTGCTCTTTTACTTAGCACAAAAGGTGTGGCTCACAATTTACTGGTGTACAGTTGAATACCATCTAGGTTAGAATATATTCATGTTTTCTTCTTAAAAGAAAGTACTCCTATGAGCTTCTAAAAGCATACTGGGCTCTGGGCACTGTGTTTACTATGTCTAATGGATGTTGGCTGTGCCAGTAAGGCTTGGCTCCCGTTCCATTGAAAGGGCTGTAACATCAAAATTATATATATATATATAGTCCTTTTTTAAGGGTGTCCCTACCTTTAAAATGTGTGGTGTGTACCAGTTGAGAGGATTGCATTTCCTTTCCTCATCTGGGGAGACAACTGGCTGGAGCATTTGGTCATATATAGGCCTTGAAGCCTATATATAGGCTTCATTACCATATATAGTCATGTATCCTTAGTGTCCACAGTGCGTTCTGTGCAATAGGACTTTGTGTGATAAAGTCATTGTGCAAATGCCACATCAGAGTCTTGGCTTGCTTCTTCTTCAAGCATCTCAAACAAGCTAGGTCTCCAACATGCCTAAATGGAGAGCAATAGCCCTCATTGGTTTGCCTACCTTCTTGTCATTGAACTTCCAAATTGATCCTTTCCCTTTGCCTGCTTCTTGCTGCTATCATTAATGCTGGATTTGTGTTTTGGGGGGTGGGTCATGATGAACTTCAGGGAAGTGTTTTTGGGAGAAAATGAAACAGATGATGCTGGAACACACAAGAGACATAATAGATGAAATTGTGTGCAGATGTTTAAGCACAGTATAGTATATACATTAACCAGTAGCGTGGGTGTTTATTGTGATATTGAAGTTTATGTATTATAAGTTCTATAGTTCTGTGCCAATATGCCTGACAAAACAACTGCTTTGTGTACAAGAGATATGAGATAGGCGTGCTGTGTCTGGGAAACTGTTTCATTCCCTAGGCCCCATTCTCTGATTGAGATTTCTGAGCTCTTTTATAGCCTATGGATCTACAGGTGTCTACTCCCTGAGTGGATGCTAGGGAGCACGTGCCTGTATTAGTCATGCCAAGTGAAGCTGAGGGGGCTGTCTGAGGCCCTGCCAAAATGGGATGTTTGTCCTCCGCACAGGAGTATGGAAAGTGATCCCTTTATTATCAGTTGAATCTTCCCATTGATGCATTGATTCAATGATTATTTATTGAGAGCATACCTTGTAGTCATTGGCATGTCGTAGTGAGTATTATGAGGGAGCCTTTTTGAACTGCTCATACTTACCCACAGCTCTTGGGGGCCTGGTTCGGCAGCTCCAGGGTTGGCCCGACTCCTGTCAACCCCAGACACCTGAGAATGCAACATGGCCGGGTCCTATGACAGACCCATGATCGGGTGTGGGGGGGTGGAGGGGTGGGGGTAGGGGTGGTGTTATCCATGTGCAGTGTATATTGAGGACTTCAGGGAATATTTTTGATTTAAAGGTTCAATGATGATCTCAGGACAATAGTTTTAGGGGTTCATCTAACCTTCAGGGCCCCAGAAAGTCTTGATCCAATGAGATCTGAACCTGAATCTTATACATTAAAATGCAAACATACAATTAAAATAGAAACTGTTTCTTGATAAGCCTTCTAATCATCTTACACCAGCAGTGTTGTACAAAGTACACCTGAGGTAAACACTTCTTTCATGTAAAACGTTGAGTTCTCTGGTGCCCGCACCTAACAGGCCCCCTACCTGCCTAGAACTGTTTCCACTTGTAATCTGCACAGCCAGGCAGCAAAGCATAGATCTGGTCTATCTAACTCCTCTTCCCTGGCTGCCAGGCTTCATGTAGGCAGACAGCCACCACAGTGCTTCTTACACCTGCAAGGCAGCATCGCAGTTATAGAGTCACCCATTCCCTTTCTCAAAGACCAGCCACTCACAAAACCTCATCAACTCGCAGGAATAAGAACACAGAAATGAAATCCTATCACTTGCATCTTCACTCTGCTCCACTTGTTTTTGTTTGTTTGTTTCATTTTGCTTTTCCTTGACCCTCTTCTCCTTATGGGACCAAACAGTTGTTAGGTGCTACCCAAACCAGAAACCTACATAACCTTGTCCACTGTTGAATGTCATAGCACAGGGCTGGATGAGGCTGCTCTTGTGGATGCCGCTTTTCTAAAAGCCCATCTGCACTTGCTTTACGAGTGGAGGGTCTGCCAGCAGCAGCAGTTTTACTGCAGATGAGAAATGAAGTTGGTCAAAGCGCTATTATATTTGTTCCATTTCAGTCGTTTGTTACATGAATGGTGTCTCACCATATGTGTAAGAAATAACAGGGAGGTTCAATGAATGTATGTGCTATCTTTTCACATGAAACTTTTTTGAAAAGCCTGCTTTATTTATTCTAGAGTGGGGAGTCTAACTCATGGAAGAGTTGGACCACATCCACCACAATATCTAGTGGATAATCTATATTGACTGTTAATTGGGTGGCTTAGAAAGAAGACCATTAGTTTCACATTCAACAATCCATGCACACCTTGTTTCAACTCCTGCACTGCAATTCCTTCAGTGTCCTACGACTTACGTGCCTTTCCCTGTGCTTCCTGTTTCCATTCTCCTTCGTCCTCGACCCTCTGGACTTTGTTGCTGGGTAAATGTCGCCCTTTCAATCTCCAATGGTTGATTATTCTACTCCAGAGGTGAGTTCAGCTCCAGACCTGAGGGGCAACTATGGGCCATAATCTCAGGGTCCCATCTGTCTCTATCCAACCAGTAAGCCTGATCTCTTTTGATATTGAATGTTGTCCCACATTTTCCCCACCCTTTATCTTAGCCCATCCCTAACGGGTGACTGTGGTACCCAAGTCCCAATAGTTCTTCTGGCCTCAGGCTGGGAAGGCTCCATCACTCTTTGATCCTTTGGATGGGGAGAGACCAAGAGTTGTACCTTTGATGAAACCAGCAATTTTTATTATTCAAATTGGTGGTGGTTTTATATTTCCTAGACTCCTGAGAAAGCACACTGGTGGTACAATAATTAAGCGCTCGTCAATTACTAACCAAATAAATGGTTGGTGATTTGAACCCACTGAGTAGCTTTGTTGGACAAAGACGTAGGAATCGGCTCCATGAAGTTTACAAAATAGGAAACCTCTGGGGAAAGTTCTACCCTGTCTTAGAAGGTCACTTGAGGTGGAATCAACTCAAAAGCACACAGCAACAATCACAGATTTTGGGAAGAAGCTGTGACGGGGAGAGTATTTAGAGCTTCTGTTGGGTGTTTAACCTCATCCAGCGATCAAACTAGTGGATCTCACTGAGATGCGGTTGTGCTTGTCTGATAAATGAAACCAAGATGGTACCAGGTATCATCTTCATACAGTGCAAAGGTCATAATAGTAACACTTGTTTAGTGTTTAATAAGTATTTTTTAAAAATTTAAAACTATGAGTCAACATGTCCCTTCTTTCCCCTTAGTAGCCTCTAAAGTTAGCTTTAATTTGAAACCCATTTGTACCGGTTTTCTGCTACTTTTAACGCTCTGCTTTCTTAAAATATTAAGTTATCCGCAAGTGCCTCATTCTAAAACAAGCATAGCTTTCCCTTAAGAAACATCCCAGGAGTACATTTCAGAGGGAGGTAAGTGTACATTTTAATACATTTTAAAATTCAAATACGTTCTTCTTAGTGAAGCAACCCAGCAAGTTTCCAATGACTTGTGGATAAGCCTGAGCTCAGAAAATGAGGTTTTCCATTTGTCTGTTTGTTTTTCCCCTTATTTGGCTCTTTGAAATGAGTGTAGTGGTTACGAGTTGCTGTGATTCGAATGGGTGGCACTTATAAACCACCAGCAACTCCGAGGGAGAAAACCTGGACTTTTCTACTCCCATAAGCAGTTACAGTCTCTGAAAACTACAGCAGGGTGGCTACTAGTCAGCATTGCCTTGAAGGCATTGAGTGAGTTTCCAATTACCCTCTTACCAGCCTCCTCTTCGTTCCTGGACAAGTCGATCGCATGACTCTAAACATTGCCTCACTTGTGCCTGGTGGACAGTAGGGATAAGAAGTCCCCACCCTTCATCTCAGAGAGGATGGCAGTATTCTGTTCATTTCTCCTCCCTCAATCTCTCAGGGTTTGTCAGAAAAGTCCCGGAGACTTGTCATGGGATATAATTTCTCAATCTATCAACACCTCTACATTTTCAATATTGAATTTTCCATCATTATTGAACTGATAATTTTCTCCATATTTCATTTCCTTTTCTCAAAACTATCATCGCCGTGGCCTTGGATGACATGGCTGTCTTATTGCAGTGCTACCTTCCTGGGACTTGATTAGCACTTGGCAGCCTTTCAGATAGTTTATTAGACTCTGAAGAGAAACCTCAAATTATCAGGCTCTCAGCTGTGACCCAGATTGCTGAGTTGTATCAGTACCTCATTACTGAGTCTTTAATCTCCATATAACTACAGATACTGTTCCTGGTCTAGACTTTTCCACAGGGTTGTTGGCTGAAGATTTGCTTTGGGGGACAGTCTCCATGACCTTGCCACTTCTCGGATCCCGCCCACACCAAGACAGTTCTTTGCACATGATGGCCTTTTAATGGGTACCTATTGAAGCAATATGTCAAAGTGGAGAGGCGAGGTAGTTGGCAATGTGAATCTAGTTTTAGGAGTTATTATTCAACAGTACTCTTTCATTGAATTACATTTATTCCATTCAACATGATTTCATTTATTCATTAAACATGTTTCTGGGCACCTCCTGTGCATAAGCCCACATGTTTGGGTGTCAGGAATAAATCCCAAATGTTCTTACTTGGTTCTAGAATGGTCCATGATCTCTTCTCCATTACTCACCAAACACCTCCCAATAACTAGAGTTGTCGTCCTTCTGCCTCAGGTGTGGCATTCATTTTTGTTGTTTGATGAACTAACTTAGTGGCTTGAAACATACCAAAGTACTGTCTGC